GGGGGGGTGCCCAAAAAAAAAAAAAAAAAAAAAAAAAACAATGGCCAACAAAACCAGAAAGCTCCTGTTTTCTCCAATACCCAACTAATTTCCCCCCTGGTATTCGTCATGACTTAGGGGTGCAGTGTTGGTGTGTCTACATGTTGAATGCCTGTCCTGTGCAAGCAGACTCTAAGCTTCATGAGGAGGCCAGCCTGTCTTCTTCACACTTGAAATGCTGAAAGAGGTTGGTGACAGGTGGCAGAAGCTCAAAACCCTGCTGAATCTCCTTAAAAGACCCAGGTCCATTAAATGGGTTGTTGACATTTTTTTTAGTTTAAGAGGCATAGTATAAGCTCAAAAAAGGCAAAACAGCCTTAAATAGCATTCAAACCCTCTTTCCATTCCTTCAGTCTTGCTATCTTGGTGGGATTAACACATTGACAATGTCTCAAATGAGCGTTATACTTCAGCCTCTGTGGGGAGAAAATGACTCAATAGAAATTCCTTCCTCCCCAACAAAAAAAAAAAGAAAAAAGAAAAGAAAGAGAGAGAGAGACCTAATTCAAACCCTGTGTATGCTCATACAGCTTCGCACTCCTTGTTTAACACATGGATCCCAAAATAAACTCATTGCCTTTCACTTCTAAAATAGAGGACTACTGTGTGACCAGTAATTAAAAATGGAATATACTGCTCTTAACTTAGTTGACTGCAATAAAGTACTTGGATTTTCCTACAATCATAACAGGACAAGGCAGAGGAAGGAGGCAGGCTTGTGAGGAGAGACAGAAACTGAATTTTTCAGAATCCAGAACTTTGTCAAAAGCTCCACATAATTTTAAGCAAATGGGTTAGGGCTGTTCACTTATGATTACTTAAAAAAAAAAAAAAAAAAAAAAAGGAAAGGAACTTGACTATGCTACAGTAATTGTACCCAGATGCCTTGATTATTTCTTCAGGACTGCTGTGCTCCCAGTTGCTGCAAAGACTTTAAATTCCTACAGCGAACAGGGGCGTAGGGTACAGACTTTGCACTGGGCCTGCTTCAACTGACTTGGTTTGCAACTTGGACATGCAAAGGGTTTCAACTGTCAGGTAGGGAGGCTCCTGGGACCTTAGGGAAAGGAAATGCCTGCTTTTCTCCCAGGGGCCCTTTCTTATCTCTTATCTCATAAGATGCTGTGGCAGCTGCCCCTCCCCATATTCAGAGCAGACAGCACAAGGAACTGGCCATGCTGGCCACTGGGTCCTCCCTCTCAAAACACTGCAACTTAAAAAGCATGTGCTTCTCAGGCTGTGTGTTTCAGGCATTCCAAGAGTCCTGTGACCATTTACACACTCAATCACTGCTCAAAAGGCAACACCTTCTTCCACAAGCATTTTCTAAGACAGGATCAAGGGCATTCCACCAGGAGTCCCAGATGCAGACAGCGCCGGGCAAGCGGGGCCTTTGGAAAACGGGCAAACTTTTTACAAGTATATCTTAGCAAACTGCCTTCATCAGAGCTTCCATCCTCTAATTGCGCACTACTGCTTCCAGCATATCTTTCCTATGGCATCATTTTCTTTGATAATTGAAGCCAAGCTTGATTCCAATGGCTTTGCACAAAAACGGGCCTCATCAGCGAGTTCTTTCAGAGAACAGGAAGCGCTTGGAGCCGGCAGAGGGCCATCTGCTGGGCCTGACTTATTTTAAGTGAGGCCAGAGCCAAGGGCCCAAGGGAGGCAGATGAGACTGGCCTTGGGGAGGAGCACATGGGAGGCCAAGGCAGAAAGGAGAGGACACAGGGAGTGCTCTGTGCACCCAACAGTGTGTTCTCCTTCCCAAAATAAATGCTGGGCTGGGTGCCTAATCCCACAAACCCCTTTTACACACACCTCGACTCTGCATGTGTGTGTGCACTGGGGTTTTCACACGTGCTCCTACCAACGGGTCACTTTTGCTCCAGGTTATTTATAGGGACCATCAAAAGTCCAGGCAACCCACTCAACCACTCGCAAACCAGAGTCCTTCCCTCTGAGGATAAGTCCTGCTCTTCCGTCCAAACTATTTATATTAAACCTGACACCAAATCAGTGAGGACACAAACAAGTCATTAAAAATGAGGCTCCTCTGAATGCCCAAGGTAAACACAGGCCGAGGAGACTGGCCAATGCCCTGGGCAGCAGGCTGCCAAGACTGCTCCTCAACAGCTGATGGAGAGACCCCAGCTGGACTTGGGTTTCCTGTTTCATTCATCATACTAAGTTAACTGGAGGAGGCCCATCCCTGAGCCAGGTACCCAGCATGATGAGTGAGGATACGGGGGAGGAACAGATGGAACCCTAAGTTGCAAGAATAAGCTGGAAAGACAAACTTAAATTCGATAAGCAGAGAAAGCTGAGACATGGAGGGGAGAGATACTCTAAAACCTACCAATGAAAAAGGGGCTAAAAGTCAGAGTTCTTTGAAAGTGATAGCCTACCCTGGTTGCCCTTTTCACACACCCAATTACTAGGACTATTAATTATACTAATTATAACACTTCATGTCTGTTCAAAACATTTCCCTTTACAAAGGCATTCATGTTGATTATTTTGATCCTAACCATCCGTATGAGGCAGGAAGATGGAATGGTGCCCACCCATTTTACAGACAGGCATGCAGGGTTCAGAAAAGATTCAACCAAACTGGTAAGTGGTAGACCAGGCTGAAAACCAGGCCTCTGAATAACTCGGGACACCACCCCCAATACAGTGACAAACACTCTTAGATTTTACATGCTAACATATGGTCGTTTAGGTATGTCTTAATTCTTTGACAATGCATATGGGTTTCATGTAGTCCAGGTAAAGCTTCATTTCAACCCACTGGTGGGAGAAAGCACACATGAATTGCCTATGAAAACTCTAGTCGATGCAAAGCTGTCACCTATGTATCAATGATGCCCAGTCAGTTCACAATCGAGAAAGCAGCGCCAGAAAACGAGACATTTTGTTCCTGTCTCCGGGATCTCAAAAGCATCACAAGAGTAATCCCAACAAGGTTAGCCCTGATGACATCCCAGAGAATCTGGAAAGAAGGTGGCAAGCCAAAGCAAGTCTCTACTGCCCACTCACACAGGGGAGGAGCCCCAACTGAGTCGGGTCTGGGGCGCTCTGATGGCATCTGAAACCACACAATGTGCTATTTATGAAGGTGACATTCTGGGTGCTGGCACTGGGAGGCACAGAAGCCCCACTGTCAGTGGCCCCTGGAGAAGCAGCCTTACCACAGGCCTTGAGTAGTTTTTGGCCACAGCTGCCAAGCTGGAGGGCCAGCACCAGGTTTACCCATATGTCCTCATAATGGGCCAGGTCGGTAGTGGCAGGTGCTTAGTGACTGACCTGCTGCAAAAGCCAGAGCTAGATTTCTCCTCCAAAACTACCTAAATCCTTAAGTAAAGACACGGAAATGACTCCCTTCAAGTGTTCAGTGCTTCCTTGCAAAAAGCCAAGCAGGTCCACTTTAAGGGTAGACCAGATGTCCGAATGGGAATAAACTGGCTCTTAGAGCAATAAGAGTGCCCCCTGGTGGTTAAGGAACAAGCCTTTCCCCTCCTTGCCAACAGTCATCTCTCTAGGCCACTCCCAAACATGCCACACTAGGATCAGTCCTGGCTATCCCCAAAAGACTTGATATCAGCTATCTGGTGCTAGCCCTTCAGACACTGCAGGCTATGCCCTACAGACACAGGGAAATCTCCAGAGACAGCTATCAGATTGCATCCTGGGTCCCCAACACAGAGAAATTCACAGGACAGCAAGATAAGCCACTTAGGAAGCAATCCAGAGCCATCCCCTCCCGTACCTCCCCTCCCCTCCATGCTGTAAGCAACAATCTGGAATTAAGGGACTCTTTCTAGTTGCAGATATTTTTTAAGTGGGGAGAGAGGAGAAAAAGCAAAACTCCAAAACTTATTCTGACAGGAGGTCTTTAACTGCCTCCAAAGGTCAAGAATCTTAAGACTTGGCCATTCTGCAAAGGACTATTTGTCTTTAAAGCCTCAAAAAAAGAAAGCACCCCAAGGGCCCCAGTCCCCACGGGCCAAGATCTCTTCATCAGCAAAATAATCAAATAAGGTCTGATCCTCAGACTCCAAGCATTTAAAACCTGGATTAATACACCAGCAGACTCAAAAGCTAAGGGTCCTTCATTCAGGAAAGTCACAGGGCCTACCCTAGTTAGAAGCATTGCTTGCTGGGTAAATATCTAATTCTACAAAGAGAACCACAGGCTCAGCCGTTAAGCCAATTGCTGCCTCTTATCTTAACATAAAAGTTCAAAAGATCCCACTTACCCCTCAATGAACGCACACGTTACTTCCTGTGCCTCTACCACAACCCAGCTGCCTCCCTGGCCACATTAATTCCACTCGCCACTGATTAGTGGTGAAATGACCCTTTCCAAAACCGGTGCTTAGTGGATCTGGTGACTCAGAGGCATCAAAAGCTGCTATCCTCTCTCTCTCTCTCTCTCTCTCTCAACCCCTTCTAAGACTCTAGCCCAGGATAATAAGTAACCCACATTAATGAATACTGCTTGCCACTGTTTGAAGTTAGCACTGGAAGACTGCAGGTATTTAGCTGTGTGTGCATCATTTTTGCACCCTTTAAACAACAAAAAGGAAGATCAAAGCGTTCATGGCCAGCGGTCTTAGCTCTCAACAGACCTTTGTCAGCCTCCTTAGCACATCCATCCATCCACCCATGGCCCAACTCAACTGGAAACATCTGTCAAGTCCCCACCATCCTCCAACCCCGCCCTACCACTCCTGCGGAAGTCTTACCTGTATCCATTTTCTACAGTCTCTGTGGACCTCACACTTGCCGTAGCCTTTAGAGTTTTGCTGGACAAGCCAACCACTGTGGGTGACAGTTTGCACTTGAAATCTGCACAAGTCCATTCCTCTTCTTCATTCAAGGTGGGGAGGTAGCCACACACGACTTTGAGGCTCCCCAGTCCCCCATTACCCATGTAAGCTGTGTTTTCTCCCCCACTCCTCACATACTCAAGGTATATGTCGGAGGTCAAAAACATCTGGTAGGCATTTTCTTCCATCACAGCCTGAATCTCAGTCTGCGCTTGGTCAAACATGACCGAATCAATCTGCTGCTTTTTGATGCCGTCTCTTATGTAGGTCTTGGTGGCAGGTTTCAGCTGCTTGGAGACAATGCTGTTGTTCTCGATGTACCTTTTGTAGATCGCTTTGGCTACTCGTAAAGTTTTGGTATCCTTCAGGTTCATCTGCCGGAATCCATTGCAGGCAAACCAGAAGTCTAAGGTATCCACACATTTCTCCCTCTCCAGGAAAGTCCGGAAGAGGTAAGCACCGTCTTGATCGCCCAACAAGGAGTGCAAAGACTTGGTCCACCTGGTCAGAGGGGAATCCGGGGACGCCCGCCCCTCGGGCTCCCCTAGCCCATCTTCGTTCCGCCTGGCATTGGAGGAGACAGGCATGGGTTTGGTGACCTGACCCTTGCCCACTCCGAACTGGCACGGTGGGGCCTCCCCTTCTTCCCCGGGAACCGGGGGCCGCGGGGCATCCTCTCGGAAGCTGCTGCTGTGGTCCGGGAGGCGTGGCACCAATACAGCGCTGCTCATGGTGAGGGAGCGCTTCTCACCGAGTTTGGGGACTTTTTTCCCTTCTTCTAGTTCCTCTCAGCAACTGGCGGGAGTGGTCTCTTTCTCTCTCAAGTCAGTAGGGGCTCATCAGAGCCTCCTCTCTGAAAAGAAAAGGAAGGGGGAGGTGGGAGAGAGAAAAGGGTATTGATCTAATCAAAACCAGATCTACCCAACATCAAAGCAAGAAAGTAAACAGGCTTTTCAACTCCTCAAATTCAAATCAAGCAACCCAGCTATCTGCGAGGTGCTCCTCTAAAGTATCAGAGGCTGCTTTTTTCAAAGGCGAAATCGGAGCTCCTAGCACACTTTGGGGGGTGGGGGTCGGGGAAGGTAAGATAGAGGAGCAAGGGCTGGCAGGAGATGGCAGAGGGGCCCAGAAGGTGTAAGATGCAACCTTCCAAAATCCGCTCGGCCCCGGGCGGCAGACAAGCCAGCTCTGTGCCTCTCTCATCCCGCGGCATCAATCCAGAGGCGCACTCCCAGCCGCAGGGCTGCGTGCAGGTGAAACCAATTTCGGCGTATTTCCCCACTCGGCTCTGCACAGATAAGTCGTGCTCCAAACGTGCCCTTCCCCGGCATCTGGTTCCCATTCCCCCCACCCACCCCCTCCCTATACGCTCTCTCTTCCCACTCCTTAAAAATTCAGAAGATCCGGGCCCGAAGAAGCCCGCCCGCCTGCACAGGCGGAAGGGGCTCCCGGGCTCCCAGACTCAGCAAGCAAACTACCCCCTCCCAACCCAGATGTAAATTTCGCAGCGCAGACCCCTCCCCCGCCAGGAATCCGCCTCAATCTACACCTCTGTCTTCCCCGCTCCCCAAAAACAGAAACCAACTAACTCAGTAGAGACTTTGATCTTCAAACTTCTCTAGAAAGCAAAGCAGCCTCGGAAACCGCCGCCCCTGTCCCCCTAACCTACCTCCCGGAGCCGAAAATCCTACAAAACCGGATCAGAAGCCGTCTCACGCTACTCCTGCCTGTGCCAAGAATCCCAAACTCCACTGATCTCAAGCCCGTCTTTTTTCCAAAAGAAAAAAAGTCTTATCTAACCAATAAACAAGCAGCTTCTCCTAGCACTAGACGGATCAAACTAAGAAGGGTAAGGGCGGGCGGGAGGAACGGAGTGCGAGCCCGGCGAAGAGCCGGGGACCCTAGGCTTGGGGTGAGTGCACGCCACCCCCGCCCAGGGCCTCAGGCCGCCTGTAGCGCCGCGCTAACCCATCGGAGGGGAGGTGGGGCGGCCCCGTTACCTGAAAGGCGCAGGCCGCCGAGGCCGGGCTCTCATCTCCAAC